TTAGGTACCTTCGTGCTGCAGTCAATAACATCTCTGAACATGTAATATAGGCCCCATTCAGAATAGGGGACTAACTAGCTATAGTCCAAGGGTCAAATATGGCAACCAATTGTAAGGAGATCAGAGATGGCGGTCTAATCAGTCTTGAAAAGATCATATCAGGTATTTGTTGTCAAAAAAATCTAAATTAGAAATTTACTTCTACCCTAGTTGCTCGTGCTACTAGTACATGCGTCTTATAACTAAATCGTAAAAAAGTCCGTCAGCAACAATATCTACGAGGAAATACCAACTTTCAGTTTTCTCTACTACATGAAAGTTAATGCTTCAACGGCTCTTTCTCTCTCAGTATACAGTTAATCATTCCACTGATTTTTTTCAACAATTTATTTGTCGATGACAGTTCCAACTGATACAAAATGCGCTTTGTATAAAATACAAAACTGTTAACAAAACGGAATATACACCAAAGATGAAGAAAAAAGGGGTACAGATTTGAAAGTATTTGGTCCAGAACGTAATATGCTGTAAAAATAATAAATAAAACGAAGGCACACCACTTTTTCCCTATCACAGGTACACAAGGCGATATCTGAGATAATATAGCAGTGTGGGGAACTGTTACCGCTATTATTACACGATTATCTAGAATCTGTTCTTTGAATAACCTTTATTACGTTTAAATATAAGTTGTAACAGAAAACGTTGCAATAGAATCCAAGCAAGGAATTCTAGTTTGATTGGAAATCATCTTAAACATGCTTTTCTTTAGTAATTGTATAGTGTAAATTGTAATGCAAAATTAAAACTACCCAATAATATTCCATACTAAACACATTCAATGTAAGTAGAGATAAATCGTTCTTATTGCCCAAACTCCACTGTGACAAGTATCTGTCAGAAATAGTGCCATGAGAATGCCATTAAAATATTATATACATCAGACTTTTAAAAAGATCAGTTGATAAAAACACACTCCAGGCATATCTTTAATTTAAAAAATCTGCTAATAAGCTGAAACATAAAATTTCTTCATAGAATGATTACTCTCTAGCTAGAGGAACAGCACTGTCTAAAGACAGATAAGACTACTTTTCCAAATAACATAGCACATGATGAGGCTGGAGTTGGGAATACTCCTCTGGTTATTTTATTTCCCAGTACCTATAGACACAACACAGCTTTACTTCAAGGGCATCCACAGGATGTTGCTCCTATTAATGAATGAGTTCTTATTATCAAACTTTTGTCACTCCTCAAAAAAGTGAATTTCGGAGTCAATATCAGTGGTCCATTTTGTGTAATATTTTACTTATTCTAATATGAACCATCATTTGTGCTGTTTTGGACTTAAATGTAATCTAAAGTGGAAAGAAGTCGACAGTAATTAAAAAGTAATGTAAAGCAAATGCAAATATCACACAAAATTACATGCCTCAGAGAGTCAATATTTTGTGGAATGAACCAGCAATGATATGATAAATTTGCTGAATTTTATTCTTTAAAAGCACAACTTGGGGCATGGGCGTCCGCAGAAAATATTCCAGGGGGGTCAAAGTCATTGAAGAGGAAGATAATGATTGGCTGGTTACCCGTAATTAACGTGCCAGCCAAAAGTCCAGGCGGGTCAAGTGACCCCATTGACCCCCCCCCCCTGCGGACGCCCATGACTCAGGGACTACACATGATAGTGTCACACATTGCTAATTGAAATTGAGATGAATTAGAATTATCCTACTGCCACCTGTAGACTGTTTGTAACAGTACATCATGTTACAGTATGTCCAAGAGAGAGCAGCATGTCCTTGTCTTAGCTCTGATGTAAGCCAGGGAAAAAATAGAACTTTTTTCGGAAAGAAGTGCTGAAGTGTGAAACTTGATAACGTTTGTCTTTGGTCTCTGCCTTGCTTACCAATTGGTTTACCTAAAAATTGAGAGTCCAAAGATCTTGAAACCTTCTAGAATGTGGAATATTAGTTTGTAACATTGATTTTAAAAAAAGCTTCAGTAATTTTTGTTCTATATATTAGGCACGGCCTTATTTATTAATTACACAGACGGTAACAAAATACATATCTGCATTTTCACCATTTTCAACATTTTTGTCTATTGAATTTTACTGTAAGATATTACGTATTTTTATTGAGAATGTGCTCCTAAACCAATGGCCCATAGACTGGGGATATTCATTTATTCATTTAATCACATGGCAAATATTGCTAGATGAAGAAAAAAAGGCTGTCTACCAATAGGAAATTAAACATTTAGAATATAGTACTATAACTAATAAATATAAATAATACAATACCTTGGTGAGTATATCACAGATTTCACATTTGTGGGCAAATCTGCTGATTGTATAAACAAGGGCTATGATAAACCACGTGCCCAAGGACTCGCGATAGGAAACATAATCTGAAACAGAATTGTTGGTTGTTATGAAAGCTGTACTTGATAAAGACAGATTGTGGTAGCTGTATTTGGTGAGGCATATTGTTCTTAATGTTCTTCATGAGATAAATACACTAGATATACTTGCTTGAGACAGAATGTGTATGATAAATTTCTTGACGCACAAAATTTAAAAGAAAAAAAAACAAACTTTTTTATATTCCTATACCTGGTACGGTTGTCCTGGCGATCAGTATGTCCGCCATTGCTCGGACAGACACATCACTGTCGTCAGTCTCTACTGCGTTCCCTACTTCTTCTAGCTTACTTAAGTACTCAAGAAATTTAAAATCTGCCTCTGTGTCCTCTGACTTTTTGGCAACATTTGCTGTAATTTATAAAAATATTCAGATTACATATAAGAAAACTGCTACAGTTTCCAATAGCCCACTGTTTTAGTTTCCTTGCTTAAAGAATAAATATCATTAAAATATGGCAAACGGTCGAAATTCCATTTCTGAAAAATGTAGAATGTTACGGCCATATAAAAAACTCACCTCCTTGACAAGCCTGAATGAAGAACAATTTTGGCTTGTGTACAAGGAAAGAGCAGTTGTTCCCATTGAAAATATCTGTTATAGCAGGAATGGACAACTCTTTCCAGTCTGTTCCATAAACAGCACCATTGGCGCCATGACTGAGGATGATCAGGATGAAGGAATGGTGGGCGGCATTCTCCAAGTTTTCAGACTCCTCCTTCAACTTTCCACGCATTTCCTTCAAAGTCAAAATGTAAAATTATGAAAACCTCTAACTTCAAGATTGTATGTTACAGAAGACCACTTTAAAATTAATATATGTTTATTACCATAAACTTACCTCAGCAGTCAGGTTAGAATGGACAACAACATTGTATTTCAATTTCTCAAACAGAAGCTCTAGTCGTGTGGCATCCTTGTCAGAGCCCACCCTACGCTCATCACCATCAAACTTCACATTATTGATGATCACGGCTCTCCCCTTTGGCTGAGAGAAGTTTACATAGGTATCCTAAAAATTAAAACACTCCCTTGCAAATGTATGTACCACTATTCAGCTGCATGGATCAAGGCATTAAAGGGATAATAACATATATAATCTAGTAAAACGATTAATTATATATATAAAGACAGAAATACAATAATTCTGGAAGCCCGAATCTTACCCAAATCAAAGGTTTTGACAATTCATACAAAAGGCAATCTTTCCAGTTCGCCTTTGTCAAATGTACTGTTTACTAATGCAAAACTGAACTTATAATGCCTGAAACAAGATCCTGATCAGGACGATAAATAATCCAAAGGTCATGTATGAAATAAGTTTTTGGGTAGACAAGGTACATTTTCCAATGCACTTTACAAATGACATTCCAAATGAAAAAAAAAAAAAAAAACAGCAAAGCCAATCTAAAATTTCACCTGAAACAAACGTCAAACCTTAAGGCATTTTAAATGATTCCCAGAACACAGTCTGGCAGAGCACTGCCCTTTCCCGGATCCCTTTAAAACTTTCTACCACCTCTTAAGTTTAATGACTTGACACGATAGAATTTAGGTCATGGGGCTAAGCTCAGCTGTCAGTCTACCTCTTTAGGGTTAGTAAGCAAGTCCCTCAGTTCAGGATCCTGTACATCTTTAAGGCTGTTTATCACACTAAAGTCTGCTATCTCTGGGGTTGGAAAATCTGTAAGAGAATGGATCGTGTCAAAATAAGAATAATAATGAATATTCTTTTGGAGCAAATAAATGTGTTCACATTAATGCCCTTTCAAAGCTACTAAGAATTAAGAAACTGTATTACTGAATAATATAGAAGGTACATTATAAGACATACAATTCTACTAGACCGGTGAAATTATTTAAATTTTGGACAGGCATTTTATTATAAAGGTCACATAAAACATGGGCATAAAAAGTATATTTATAATATAGTTTGTTAAATGCAAATATAAACTGATCTCATTAAAAAACAATTTATAGCAGAGTAAATAAATTCTAATTTTGAATAAAAAACAAACAAAACAAAAAAAAAACCATGTGGACTATTGTATGCGACACATAATAAACAAATATGAGGATACATATCTTACACAGATACCAAATGAGGCCACAAACAAAATGATACATGTATCTTTACTGACTTTCAGGAAGTTTATCATCGTCTTCATCATCTCGCTTCTGAGATGCTTGTGCGTGCATAGATCTGCGGCTTGCAGTTTCAGCATGAGTTTGTGAAACACGATCTGGCCATATTAGGTCTGCAAGGAACTGTTGTCCTAAAGATAGAAGTATTTTTAAATTCTTTCAAACAGTGGTATTTTACTGTATATTTTCTAATACCACTAAGAAAAAACTGACATTTTAACATACTCACACATCGTAATAATTCATGCAGTAAAGGTGTAGGACTTTTCCACTGGTATATTTTCTATTTATTTCCCTTAAATATTTTATCCAAGAATCAAAGACGACTAAGTCACCTGCCACAATGAGAGCATTATAAAAGTGCTCAAATGCCTCGGGCCCGCTCCTGGGAACGACATCAAGAATTGTGTCCACTTTCTCGCTCCTTGACCTTGTTTCCTAAATTTCAAAACATAATGTCTTCATTGGATTATTTTAAAATCTTACAGCTGTAACTACATGTTTAAGAAAATGTGACTGGAGACCAACTTGGTAATGGTATTAATTCCATACCAAAATTCACAGATGAAAAAGTTGTTATTATGATGAGCGAGGAACAATCACTGGCCTCTAGTACTGAGAAAGAAGAAAAAAGCTTTACAGAAAAGGAACCCTGTCATTGGGATGTCCCGCTTTTGCTACATGTCCTCAAATGACATTCACGTTTTTCTTACTTGACAGAGGCATTTAGGTCTGATTCCAAAAACTACACACATGGGATATACCAATTAACTACGGGTGTATCTAGCCTGGATAATAGAAGGTGGGTTTACCAATTTAGATGGTGAACTGCTTCTATATGAAGATTTTATTGCTGACTCGTGTTCTGAAGCTCGATCACCTTATTTTAAGATAAGAGTTTATTAAGCCAATTATAAAAATCGGAAATCATTTTTCCTTTTGGAGCAATATACAGAGTTAAATAATAAAATAATACAATAAATAAATAAATAATTTAAGAATTTAGTTTTGAGTTCGAATTAAAATGCGTCACTGCACTTGGATAAAAGCTGTTTAAAAAGCGTTTACTGCCTTTATGATCTATACAGTGATTTTATAAAATTCGTTTAAAAATATTTACTTAACCAACTTTGATCAGTTTTTTGTACGTGGTGGTAGACTAGTAAAGCATTGTAAATTCGATTTCTGTGCGTTTTAGGTTTATTAACCAGGTTGATTACTATATCTAAAGGACAACCGACCGTGTCAGTGACCTGTCAAATTGCATGGTGCTGTACAGTAAACTATATATTTCTTTTCTTAGATACCTTTATACGTTCAAACACGGGATACGTAAGTACTCCCTCCTGGTACAGATAATCGGCAACTGGCCCTGGTTCCATGTCTTCCTTTAAGGCAAGCAGATGCTTACGAATTTGGTCACGATAAAACTGGTCCATACCAGACTGCGACTGATAACTGAAAAATCTACATATCATTTACCCCAGTATTCCCAAAGACTATATGTATATACACACACAGACTTGACATTTAATATGGAATATTTCAGTTTTGAAGGTACGTCTAGGTAAAAATGCGTTCTTTTTTACAAAAATCTCAGATCTCATATAAGATATGTGAATGGAGAAGTGTGTAGTCAGGTGTGTCGCTTCCAATTATCTGTATTCCAGGTTTGTTGCGCTGCTGTATTATGTAATATGCAGTGATTTAATTGGGTGATTTAATTGGGCAGGTCAAAGATTGGCTTTTGCAAAGCACGGTTCTGTCAAAAAAGTATCCATATGTTGGCAACTACTGCAAGTGGTCGGTTTTGCAGTATGTAAAATGAGCTATAAAGTGTTTTACAAATTTGTTAATCTGAGGGAGAATGGCGCGAAAAAGACAGACATTGCCAGACAGATAGTCGGGCCAAACAAAACTGTCGGTACAGTTTTATAGAGTAATACCCATACTGATGTACCTACAAAAAAGGCACACCCAATGTATAGAAATCTTACCACCAGGGTACAGTACCCATCGTCTTTCGGAATATGCTGTTGCAAATAAACAAAAACCACCCAGTCCGCTGAGAAGAGGGGTAAATTGCCAACAAAACACATTTTCAAGGCCCTTAGCTAACACCAAACTGGTTTTAGCAGGTTAGAATACCAGACGACCTCCAAGGAACCCACTGTAAACAGCAAAACATCGTTATATGTTTCTCTAATGAATTGGGGACCTTGACCGTTTCTGGGTTGAACACTGAAACCTCGTGGCTTTCTTTACTGAGGTCAGATTTCACCTGTCCCGCTCAACTAGTCAAAACAGAGTTTACAGACATCCAGAAGAGGCAAACGACGAAGCGCGTGCCGCGTCTAAAGTGACTAAGGTCACTAACAGCGTCAGTATTTGGGGTGGAAACCACATTGGTGCCAAAACACCAATGGTAGTCATCGACGAAAACCTGAACAAATAAAGGAATAATCTAGGAACCACTTGATTATCATTTGATAGGGGGCAACTTAAGAACAATTTTAGGTTGCTCGGTGAGATTGCCGGTACAGGTGTACCATGAAAATCTGACTCCCCCAAAATGTGACTCCCCAGTCAGATTTTCATAATGAAAATGTGGCTCCCCAGTCAAATTTTCATAATGAAAATGTGACTCCCACCATGAAATTTTGATTCCCCCCACAAAACTTTATAAATCTTATTTTACTGGAGAATATAACTTTTATATAGTAGTATGCATAATGGAGGATTCATTTGCACTTTTTGTTAGTTTGCTGGTGAAAATTTTAATGAGAAAATAAGAAAATAAAAAAATTGTATTTTACCACCCAATGACTCCCTTATGAAAAAACTTTTTATTTGATATTTGCATGGTGATCATTTCAACATTTGTCCCTTTAGTATACTTTATGACGAATATATTGGAAATATTTGAAAGTTTGGTGGTAAAATATTGGGTGCAAAAAATGAAAAAAAAATCATGAAAAATTTTATATTCATACCCATGGGATTTGGACTCTCATGAAGAAAAGGCATTATTTTATGTTAAATCACCATACCATTGTTTTTCATATGATTTGCATTGTGATGTATATTTTGTTAGTATTTGAAAGTTTGGAGGTGAAAATTTTTGGTGAAACTTGATAATATTTGAAACAAGTATTCATCTTACTACCTGTAGGATTTGGACTCCCATAGCTTTTTCAAAGAATCATTGGGTGAAAAAAATTTAATTTTCTTATTTCCTCATGAAAATTTTCAAAAAGTGCCAATGTATCCTCTATTATGCATGCTGCAAGATAAAAGTTATATATTCAAATAAAATGCGAGTTTTAAAAGGCTTGTGAGGGGGTGTCAAAGTTTCATGGGGGGGGGGAGTCAGATTTTCATTATGAAATTTTGACTGGGGGAGTCAGGTTTTCATGGGAGTCAGATTTTCATGTACTCGGTTCACACTTTTAATAGCACGTTACTTAGAGAACCAAGGGGATGAGCAGTTACCTTGGTCATCAAAATCGCCATATTTGAACCACAAAGATAATATGTGGGTAGGCCATTACTCGCCGAATCAATGGCCTTCATGCCCTTCAACAAAACTGGACCAAATTGGACAGATTTTGACCGATGCCTGGAATGTTATTCCAGATCAAACTATAAAAACCTATCCCAAGGAATGCCTTGCCACTTGAGAGCGCTGGTAGCAGCCAGAAAAGGTCAGGCGTAAGAGCGTAAACATCTCTTTTAATGGTTGTCGTATGATATAGAATAGGCAATGTTTCCTTCTCGGGTGAATTCAATTAATGAACTGATGTCATAATTAAAAGTTATTAAATCACGATCCTTATTTTCATTTATTAGTCAGCAAAATAGAAAAAAAAAAACTGATGAAAAATGATTTGGAAAAAATATTCGATATTAAATGTCAAGTATATATATATATATATATATATATATATATATATATATATATATATATATATATATATATATATATATATATATATCAAACTCAGTGGGGGCTCTCCTGAATGCAATCAGTTTGACAGATGAACACGCCACCTTTGGTGTTAAAGAAGATAGAGAATAGAGAAAAGAGAAGAGTTGGTGATTGTACGAGAAGGTTAAAAACAGTGGAGCCAGGTTTGTAAATCTGTTAAACTGATTGCATTCAGTTAGATTCCCCGCAGTGTTGGATGGATTGTATACGCTTTCTTTCTTCAGTCTCAGGACCTGAAACATATGATCATTTAATTGCTAATGAATAAAATCATTTACTACATTATAACTGCATGGACGACTGGGGAAATTGTACATGTACCTACATGTATCTAACTATTGCAGTCTTTCACTAACTTAGATATAAACATCCAAAACCTTTATCCTCACACTAAATTTCACCGTGTCCACTTCCAGAAAGCAAACTTCAGAGAAGCTCCACAGCGAGCTAAGTTTCTCTTCAAGAGGCACATATAAACTATGTAACCTTTATTACAGCCACTTTATTTAACCAGAACATCTGAAGTATCCATTTAAACTAAAAAGGTATTTAAAAATCACACAGTTGGGTTGCAAGAGGCCCTATTCCTGAATCCTTTTTCATAACATATTTATTTATTAATATACCGGTAACCACCTTTGAAAGACGAGCAAAATTTAAAACGAAAAGACGAAAAAAAACATAAAACTAGAAAAGCGATTTTTATTATAATTGATTATTGATTGATTATCGGTCCATAACTTTTTGAGCTATGTTGATGACAAACAAACAAACAGGGGTGAAAACATTACCTCCTTGGCGTANATTTATTAATATACCGGTAACCACCTTTGAAAGACGAGCAAAATTTAAAACGAAAAGACGAAAAAAAACATAAAACTAGAAAAGCGATTTTTATTATAATTGATTATTGATTGATTATCGGTCCATAACTTTTTGAGCTATGTTGATGACAAACAAACAAACAGGGGTGAAAACATTACCTCCTTGGCGTAGATAATTAAATATCGTGCACAAGAAAAGAGAGGTGAGAAGAGTGAGAACGGAGAAGGGGCTTGCATAGAGCGAGAAAAACAAATTAAAGTACTATAAGAGTGCATTCCCAGAGATTTAGATCGATCCAGAGATTTAGATTTAGATCGACCTAACTCCCTGGGGGTTCACGCTAAATTGCTGAGCGGGCACCATAGTTAATTACCCCCTTGCAGCTTTTAGTAGGCAGGACAGACGCTTAAGCCAGCTAAGCTGACAGTAATCTAGTGAGACTCCCCACAGGGATAGATCGATCTAAAATCTATGGGAATGGAGTCTAAGACTTCTTAGAATTCTTCTTAGAATTCAGTCGATGGTTACATAACGTTTCAAGGTACTTAACAAACTTACCCGAATTTCTCCGTTGTCTTCAAATCCCAGCTAAGGTAAGTTGGAATCTTACTTCTACTCCTGAAGATCGTTTCACTGTACAATTTATCGTCATAGCGGCAGGACAAAGCAGCAGAGTGAAGAGCAAGCGATTCATTTCACCTTTGCAAAGCACATACAGAAGGGACGGTTTGCTTTAGCAGAATCAATTGCAATTGAATTGCCATGACTGCATTACTTTTAAGATTGGAACCGCCCGAGATAGCCAATTTTATCCAGTTGTATCGAAGAAGAAAACCCCGAATAAATAACCATAGATGACAGACGTGAGTTTCTCGTTGCCGAGAAACCAATGAAACGAAAGATTGGGTGAATTTAATTAAAAGGTTAACAAATACAATTACACGATATTTGGTAGTTAAGGAGGAAAGAGACCGACATAGTAGCAATGTATGAAGGATTAGTAGCTCTATGGTGGCCATCCCAACCATGGTTTCAGATTCTACGGAATCTCTCAGTGTCGCCACCTTTCAAACTACCAAAACAAAAAGTACAAGAGTGTGAATCCACTCATAAATCCAGAACCAGTGAAAAACAGGAAATAGAACATATACGCCAGGAGGATATATGGCAGCAAAAACTTATAAGGGTGGTCAGATCGTGCAGCAACACAATTTAGCTTTGCATGGACAGAATCCACACTTATAACATACATAGAGCTATAAAAAAGTTTAAGCAGTTTTGTGTTATGAAAGGGGATGATTTCCCTTCTATACATTTTAATGCAATAGTGGATTTCTTCTGTTCTGTTGCTGATACCTCTGAAAGACCAAAGTCACAGCTGGCTATTGTTCATGCCGCTCTCTCTCATTTATATGAAGCTTACAATATGGATAACTTAATAACTATGCCAAAAGTCACTTATCTGACTAAGGCATTAGTAAAATCTGAGACAAAAGCAGTCAGATGTAGATCTGGAGTAATGCCAATTTCAGCATTCACGGATAGGCTACGTTTAAAAGTTGGAGTGACAATGAAACATTAAGCCTGGAATCACTTCAGCTTGAATGCATTGTTCTGCTATCCATATTATGTATGTGCCGACCATCAGATATTGCACCCAGAGTTAAAACATTTGGTCCTGTGCTGCATAAAGTGGATAATTTAGCCTCTTACTGCATGTAAAAACTAAAATTCTGTTAACGTAGATTAGTTAAAATGGGACTTGAACAATAAAGATGAGGCCAACGACGTACATGTAGTTAAAACCTCTTTCATAAGGTACATCTATCCCCGAGGAAAGCAATGTGGTGGAATTGAACTGAAATTTCTGAATGCAAAACATTAACTTGTTGCAACTACTGGTTTAAATAGACTTTTAGTATTAATTTGATAAAAAAAGCTAATGAATTTCTTTACTAAGAGTAAGAACAATTCATTTCAAAAATTAAAAAGCAGCCTTTCTTTTCTTTTATCTCTCTCTCTCTTTCTCTTTTGTTGGGGACGGAGTGTGCGCGTCATAAACTGGTAGAGAGTAACATAACACAGCATTCAAACGAAAGATATGCCTTCTAAAGAGTCTTTGCATGTCAGATATCAAAATTTCGAGTGACGGAGACGATTATTACATCAAGAAAGCAGAGGTAGCATCTTACCTCACAGTTTTGAACTCACGCTATAGACACACGTGTCTGTTTGTCGTAGAGGAGAGAAGAGTGAGAAAGAAAAAATGGTTTGTATATAGACAGCGCTAACATGAATGGCACCAAAGTCAGGCATCTGACGTTTCTTTTCATTGCATCGAAGAGCGAAAAAAAAATACGTACTTGAAATTCCGCGGTGCTAAAAGACTTCTTCCTCATTCTGTCGATGGTTAAATAGCGTTTAAAGGTCCATAACAAACTTACCCGAATTTCTCCCGGTTGTAATTAAATCACAGTTAAGGGCAGTTGGAATCTTACTAATGTCGCCTCACTGGGGCTCAAATGGCTTGTCAACTAACTGCGCAATTAATCGTCATAGCGGTGAAAAGACGCTAGAATAATAACAGTCAAAAATAGTTCTGTATAACAAAAGGTCAAGGGCAAAGCAGCAGAGTGAATAGCAAGTGATTCATTTCACATTTGCAAAGCACATACAAAAGGGTTTTACTTGCTTTAACGGTATCGATTGCCATGACTGCAATACTTTTTACATTGGTGAGGCAGATACACGTCAGACAGTTGAAGATCAGGATTAGCGAACACAAAAGATCAGTGACTGTACTACTGGTTTAAATAGACTGTTAGTATTACTTTGTTGAAAAAACAGCTGATGAATTTCTTTACCAAGAGTAAAAACAATTTATTTCAAAAATTAAAGAATTTCTTTTCTTTTATCTCTCTTTCTTTCTTTCTCTTTTATTTATTTTTTTTTTTTTGGGGGGGGGGGGGGGGTGCGTCACCAGCTGGTAGAGATGTTATAGTGAAGATTAACGACAACGATCTGGAGCGTTCGAGCGTTTATTCACCAACTAACTTTTCACACAATTTCACAAGTATTTTAACTCTATTTCTGCCCACTGATGATGCATTTTCTTATTTTCTTTTCATTGTCTTTGTGTGATTACAAAATATTTTCCAGTCGCATGTTGAGAATTTTCTTGTATATCTAACAACCAAGCTAATGAACATTCTTGCTCATGTTCTACACTTGTTGACTCTTGATGAAACTTAACTTACACTCAATAATTCCTATCCTTTTACTCTTTTGATTCCGTTTTAATTGTTATCTGTAATTAGTGAAAATGTAAGTCATTCGCTTTCCAACAGAGAGTAACATTACACAGCATTCAGACGGAAGATATGCCTTCTAAAGAGTCTTTGTATGTCAAAATTTCGAGTGACGAAGACGATAATTACACCTAAAAAGAACACGTAGCACCTTGCCTTACAGTTTTGAACCCACAGTATACACGCGCGTCTGTTTGTCGTAGAGGAGAGAAGAGTGAGAAAGAAAAAATGGCTTGTATATAGACAGCGCTAACATGAATGGCACCAAAGTCAGGCATCTGACGTTTCTTTTCATTGCATCGCAAAGCGAGAAAAACAAATTAACGTACTTGAAATTGCGCGGTGCTAAAAAACTTCTTCCTCATTCAGTCGATGGTTCAATAACGTTTAAAGGCCCTTAACAAACTTACTGAAATTTCTCCCTGTTGTCATCAAATCACAGCTAAGGTCAGTTGGAATCTTACTAATGTCGCCTCACTGGGGCTCAAATTTACTGCGCAATTTATCGTCATAGCGGTGAAAAACACGTTAGAATAATAACAGTGAAAAATAGTTCTGTATATAAAAGGTCCAGGACAAAGCAGCAGAGTGAATAGCAAGTGATTCATTTCACCTTTGCAAAGCACATACAAAGGGTTTTATTTGCTTTAACGGTATCAATTGCCATGACTGCAATACTTTTTACATTGGTGAGACAGATTCACGGCAGACAGTTGAAGATCGATTAGCGAACACAAAAGATCAGTGACTGTACTAGTAGACAAGGAAGATTGTATTAGGTACATGTACCTTCGTGCTGCAGCCAATAACATTTATGAACATGTAATATAGGCCCCATTCAGAATAGGGGACTAACTACCTATAGTCCAAGGGTCAAATATGGCAACCAATTGTAGGGAAATCAAAGATGGCGGTCTAATTAGTCTTGAAAATATTATATCAGGTATTTGTCGTCCAAAAGAAAAAAATTCTAAATTAGAAATTTACTTCTCCCCGATTTCTAACGTAGTTGCGATCATTTTGTACCCCGGAGTACTTAAATTGTGCAGGGGATGAGGGCCTTTTCGGCCCAGCTGACTACCTGACACTCATCGCCAGAGGTTTTTCTCCCGCAAAACGCACAAATAATGCAGCTTGTAGCAAATCAAATGATTTGGCCTAGCACGTCACTTCTTACATTCCCCACTGAAAATACAAGTCCGTATTTCGTATTTATTTATTTCCTTGCTTGATGCAGATTCCAACAATGAAAGAGATGCTGAACGATGCTACATGTTCGCAGACGTTCGTTGCTCGTACTACTATTACATGCGTCTAATAAACTAAATCGTAAAAAAAAAAAAAAAAAAAAAAAAAAAAACGTCCGTCAGCAACAATACCTACGAGGAAATACTAACTTTCAGTTTTATCTACTCCATGAAAGTTAATGCTTCAACGGCTCTTTCTCTCTCAGTATACAGTTAATCATTCCACTGATTTTTTCAACAATTTATTTGTCGATGACAGTTCCAATTGATACAAAATGCGCTTTGTATAAAATACAAAACTGTTAATAAAACGGAAAACACACCAAAGATGAAGAAAAAATGGATACAGATTTGAAAGTATTTGGTCCAGAACATACTATGCTGTAAAATAATAAATAAAACAAAGGCACAACACTTTTTTCATATCACAGGTACACAAGGCGATATCTGAGATGATATAGCAGTGTGAGGAACTGCTACCGCTATTATAACACGATTATCTAGAATCTGTTCTTTTAATAACATATTGTATAAATGTAAGTTGTAACAAAGAACGTTGGCCACTAGAATCCAAGAAAGGAATTCTAGTTTGATTGGAAATCATCTTAAACATGCTTTTCTTTAGTAATTGTATAGTGTAAATTGTAATGCAAAATTTAAAATACCCAATAATATTCCATACTAAACACATTCGATGTCAGTAGAGATAAACCGTTCTTATTGCCCAAACTTCACTGTCACAAATATCTGCCAGAAAAGTCTGCCATGAGCATGCCATTTAAAAATAATTATATACATCAGTCTTAAAGATCAGTTGATAAAAATACACTCCAGGCATATCATTAATGATAAAAAAAATCTGCTGAAAAGCTGAAGCATTTCATAAAATTTCTTCATAGAATGATCACTCTCTACCTAAAAGAATCACGCTGTCTAATGACAGATTAGACTACTTTTCCAAATTACATAACACATGATGAGGCTGGAGTTGGGAATACTCCTCTGGTTATTTAATTTCCCAGTACCTATAGGCACAACACAGCTTTACTTCAAGGACATCCACAGGATGTTGCTACCATTAATGAATGAGTTTTTATTATCATATGTGTCACTCCTCAAAAAAAGTGACTTTCGCAGGCAATATCAATGATCCATTTTGTGTAATATTTTATATATTCTAACATGAACCACTATTTTTGCTATTTTATGCTTTAATACCATTTAACGTGGAAAGAAGTGAACAGTAAAAAAGTGATGTAAAACATATGCAAATATTCCACAAAATGGCATGCGTCAGAGAGTCAATATTTTGTGGCATGAAACAGCTACGATATGATAAAATTTGCTCAATTTAGGCTTTAATAGCACAACTCAGGGACTACACATGATGGTGTCACACATTGCTGCTTGAATTTGTCCTGAGAAGAATTAGAATTATCACACTGCCACCTGTAGACTGTTTGTAACAGTACATCATCTTGCAGTATGTCCAGAAGAGGGCAGCACCTCCTGGTCTTAGCTCTGATGTAAACCAGGGAAAAAATAGAAGCCTTTTCGGAGTGAACTCCTCCATTGTGAAACTTGACGAAATTTTTCCCTCGCAGTCTCTCCTTTGCTTACCAAGTTGTTTACCTACAAGTTGAGATTAAGAAGACATAGCAACTTTCCAGAATATACTGGATTCATTTCCCCCATATATTTTAAGAACAACTGAATATTACATCCGAAAATATTAGTCTGATCTTTAAAAAGCTCTTACACAGAAAGCACTCAGGCTGCTCTTAGGAACTTAAAATTTGTTTTAAAAAATCATCTACACTCCTTCATATTCTTCATTTCTAATATTTTTTATCTATTGATATCTACTGCATATTACTATTTTTATTTAGCATGTGCTCCTAAACCAATAGCCCATAGACTAGGGATATTCATATACTCATTTAGTTGTCTAGAAAACATTTCCAGCTGAAAACAAAAAGTCATCTACAAATCAGAAAAAAAAATTGATCCAATACCTTGGTGAGTATTTGAGAAATATCATCTTTATGGGCGTATTTACTGATTGCATAAACAAGAGCTATGATAAACCATGTACCCAAGGACTCGTTGCGCCAGGATACATAATCTGAAAGAAAAAAAAAAAGCATATAAAGTTTGGGTGTGTTATGTAAGCTGCACTTATCTGGGACACAATGCGTTAGAGGTACTTGGTTGCAACAAATGTGTAAGATGATCCCTGTTGAGTCAGATTTTGTTTGATGAATGCTGTTGAGACATATTGTCTTTGTAGTACATGGTTGAGACAGTTTGTTCTTCAGGTTCTTGGTTGAGACAGCTTGTGCTAGATATTCTTGGTTGAGACAGATTGTGCTAGATAATCTAGTTTGAGACAGAATCTATAAAATATAAATGGTTGGTTGAGACATAACCTATCTAATTATCAGACACCTTTTGTTCTTCCCCCACCTGGCGTGGTTGCCATAGCAACCAATATGTCCGCCATTGTTGGAACTGAGACATCACTGCTGTCTGTTCTCTCTTTTGGTCTCCCTGCCATTTCCAGCCTACTGAAGTACTCAGCAAGGTCACCATCTGCCTTCGTGTCCCCTGAGCCTTTGTCAAAATTTTCTGTAATGTACAAGAAAAATGTCATAATATCATAATATACAGGCCCCTATAAGAAAACTGACACAGTTTCACATGACCTACTTATCTTTTATATGTTAAAAGAAAAATATAGCTTTTATATTTTTCCACTATGACAATCTAGGCACTAATTCCATTTTAGAAAAATTTAGGACATCACATTTTGTTATATATAAAAAATGTATCGTTTATAATTATCATTATAACACTGGTCATTAAAAAACTCACTTCCTTGACAGGCCTGAATGAAGAACAATTTTGGCTTGTCTACAAGGAAAGGGCAGTTCTTCCCATTGAAAAGATCAGTTATAGCAGGAATAGACAACTTTTTCATGTCTGTTCCATAAACGGCATCATTGGTGCCATGACTGAGGATGATCAGGATGAAGGAATGGCGCGCAGCATGATCAGAGTTTTTAGACTCCTTCTTCAACATTTCCAGCATTTGCTTTAAAATCAAAAAGTAAGCCCATGAAATTGTAAATATGTCTTACTTAACAAAAAACTTAATGGAATTCAAGATCTCTAATCTTGNTGAAAAGATCAGTTATAGCAGGAATAGACAACTTTTTCATGTCTGTTCCATAAACGGCATCATTGGTGCCATGACTGAGGATGATCAGGATGAAGGAATGGCGCGCAGCATGATCAGAGTTTTTAGACTCCTTCTTCAACATTTCCAGCATTTGCTTTAAAATCAAAAAGTAAGCCCATGAAATTGTAAATATGTCTTACTTAACAAAAAACTTAATGGAATTCAAGATCTCTAATCTTGATGATAATAAATATAATATATATATATATATATATATTGATAACTATGGTGACCCTACCTCAGCAGTCAAGTTAGAGTGAGGAACAACTTCATAAGTCAATTTATCAAACAGTCGGTGTAGTTGTGTGGCATCCTTCTCCGAGCCTTTCCTATCCAAATCGCCACCAAACTTCACATTATTGATGATCACAGCTCTCCCCTTTGGCAGAGAGAAGTTTTTATAGGTACCCTAAAAATTAAAACACAGCAGAAGTATATGTATCACTAGCTGCAGGGATCAAACACAAAAAATGAATAATAACACATGTAAATAGCTAAAGGATTTGGGAGGCCAAATGTCACCCAAATCAGAGATGTATTGACAATTTAAAAACCATGCAGTCTTTCTTTGTTGCCAATGTCAAAAGTAGAGTCAACTGATGAATATTGTACCTATCTGTCAGTTTGTGTTTTTTTCCCTCTCTCTGAAAATCTATCTTACAGTTAATGGATACTGAACTTATTACCAATTGTCAGCACTTCTTAATGCCTGAAACTTAAAATGGAAAAAAAAAGAGCTGTCCTTTTCTTACTCCCCTGAATGTTAACTGCTACGTTGAATATTTAAATGACTTTACATGTGGCTAAAATGAGGTGCTTCTTCTCAGTTCTCAGCCTACCTCTTTGGGGTTAGTCAGCAAGGCCTTCAGTTTAGGATCCTTTACATCTTTAAGGTTGTCTATCACACTAAAGTCTGCTATGTCTGGGGTTGGAAATTCTGTAAGGTTGTGAGGGAAAAATAATCACAATTTATTGAGAAAACAAATGTGTTTACATTAATACCCTTTGAAAGCTACTTCCTACAAAGAATTAAGAGACTGTATTACTGAATAATATACAAGGCACATTATAGGACATGCAATTGTACTAGTGAAACTTCATTACTTTTATTACACAGATCACTAAAAACATGGGCAAATCAATAAGATTCATAATGTAGTTACAAGTACTTTAATACAGATATAATTCTATCTCATTTTTACAAGATTTTGTATAGCAGAGTAAGAAATCATAAACATAAAGCAATCTGGACTATGGTCAATAAAATGCAGAAAAACAGAAACGTGGCCACATGTGTTATCTGCCACAGGTATAATATGAGCA